GTGTGTGTGTGCATGCGCCACAGGGGGAACTGGCCCTAGAGCCATGACGCTCTATTAGAGAAACTTCAGAGAAACATCTGAGAACTAATAATAAACACATGAGGTAAGGCACCAGGACAAAAGGGTATCAACTCTAGTAAGGAACTTTTTGGCAAATTATTTCTCACTGTGCCTTCTTATAATTTCCAGTTTTTTTCCTCTCTAGGTCACATGTAGGGTAGAAAAAGTAAGTCAAGGTTTTTGCTATGTTCCGGTTACTTCTGGGTTTGGGAGTTGTTTTGTATTTAACTTTTGATTAATTTGTGATCAATTGTCAATGGAATATATATGTATATACATATATGTGACTCTGTGTGTGTGTGTCTGTGTTCCACGAACGGGGGTACGCTTTTCATGAAGCTCTTTACTCTCTATTACCTTTTGATATCTTGGTTTTTCTTGGCTTATGTCTGTCTGTGAACAATGCTGCCTTTCACTTGTCACTCTACCTTCCAGGAGTGGCTACAGATGACTTGAAAACAAATCTATTTTCATTCTCTCCACTCAGAGTTTCTTTTCATTGGCTTTAAATGGTATGGACGTTTAGCTTTTGTCTTCCCCAGCCCATACACTCCACATCTCTTTAGCCCTTCACATCTCAGCAATCCTACTCAATTCTGCAACTAGAGATGTGTCAAGGTCAAGTACAAAAACAGGATGGGGATTACAATTTCTTTCCAGTGTTGTCCTAAAGATACCCAGGATTTCTAAACCTTTATTTAAGTTTTAGGAACACCCTGGACCAACTTCATCCCAACACTACCTGCAGCACTTATCACATCCCTTTCCTAGAACAAAATGATTACTTAGTCTATCACTTTATATGTAAAGCTTATTTTTCCAAAAGGGCCTTACATTACCTTGGCACCAAAGGCAAAGTCCATCTGCTGTCTTCTGTTCCCTTCCAGAGCCTCTCTTGTCAGGCACAGAACTAATGAAAACGTCAGTCTTCTATTAGAGTGGGATCATGGGGAAAAAAACCTCTCAACATAAGGCCACAAAGAGGGACAGATTGACAGATGAAGTCTAGCCAAAGCTGCCTTATCATACAGGTTAACACATGGGCACCTAACTCTCTCTCTGGCAATAGTCAATGGGAATGATGACCATCGACTGAGTGTACAGCTTTGAACTTCATTAGGATCCAAGAAAAACAAAAGTCTTTGTCTTGTCTCTGACTAGAGCTTTAGGCCTGTCTGGTTTGGTAAGTAAGTAAGTATGTAAGTCAATGAAAGGAAGGAAGGAAGGAAGGGAGGGAGAGAGAGAGGGAGGGAGGGACAGAGGAAAACGAGTACGTATGTGTCAATTTATATCAGAGGGGCTTCCCTGGTGGCGCAGTGGTTGAGAGTCCGCCTGCCGATGCAGGGGACACGGGTTCGTGCCCCGGTCCGGGAAGATCCCACATGCCGTGGAGCAGCTGGGCCCGTGAGCCATGGCCACTGAGCCTGCGTGTCCGGAGCCTTGCTCCGCAACGGGAGAGGCCACAACAGTGAGAGGTCCGCGTATCACCAAAAAAAAAAAAAAGATAAATCAGAATGAGCCAAAGTATTCCCAATTAAAGAGACAGGTAGTGTAGGGAAAGACCAACAAGATAACTGGTATCACATCCCAGCCCAGCAGCCAACCATCTTGGTAACTTTGGACATGCCATTTCATTTCTGTAGGTTTTCAGTTTTCCCATTTGAAAGATTGCCTAAGGTCCCTTTTCAACTCTAGGATACTACAGACTATAAATAGCTGACAATAGAGTGTACCATGTATTCCTGGGATACTGACATTAACACCTCCTAGCATTTGGGAGTCCATCTGAGATAGAACTGAATAATCTAAAGACACTCAACCCACCATTACTAAAATTCAAACTGTTATAAACACAATGTTTAGAACCTTTCTGTGTCAACAGCCAGAAATTCAGGTTTATCAACTACTATTATTTCTTTTCCCTGTCTCTAATATTATTGCTATTTATTTTGAGTCCACACCTTTATCTAATTTTTTTTTTTTTAGTTTCTCCAGTAAAACCATTTTATCTTGTTCCTTATTTAAGGAACACAGTTTCAAATGCAAATTATTATTTATTTATTTATACTTATTATTACTCCCCTTTTAAGGGATCTCACTAATGGGGTTTATTATCTTTATGTAAGTGAGTCTTACAAAGTGGGCTAAACCTGAAGGAACAGACAGACACAGAAAGGGGCCCCGTTAGGTATTTAAGGAGTGTGAGCTTTTCCCTCCAGGCTTCTCTCTGTGTTGTTTCCACATTCATTCGATAGCTGTTGAATAGGAAGAGGTCGCAGGGACCCTATGCTAACTTTATACTTCTGGAAAAGGGAATATGGCTCTTCTCGAACACAGTCTTGGACCACCAAGACAGAATCATCTGCTCTACTTAGTGGTTAAGTGAAGGACCACTTGAGAAGGATAATCTCTTGGCAAGGAGCCCAGCCCTTATCTCGCACTTCTAGGCCTCCTAGATCAGGCCTGGGGTAAGCAGAAGGCTTTGTAAGTCGCTCCCTCTGCACTAAAGTATTGAAAGAAAGGTGTTATCTACTTGCATTCAAAACACCATGTCAGTATGGAGTGGAGTCAGAAGGTTCTTCAACAGACTTCAGTTTCTGTCTACAAGCTCTGGTGAAAATCAAAGTGGCTGACATGTGTTAATGCAACTACACAAGAAGACAGGTGGGGCTTGCTCTGTCCCTGCTCTACGTGGCTGCCGGCTCTGTCACAGCAGCAATTTCTACTTTCAAAGGAAGAGCAAGAAATAAAACACTACCAGCATTTCTATTAATTCTAACCTACCTGGACAGCACTCACATTCCTCCATCCCTAAAAGACATTTCTGTAAAGGAAGACACACATTGAAGAGGCACACACATCACCCACCTTAAAATAACTCATAACCTCATTCAGCTGAAAGTAAGTACAAAACTTAGAATCCCTAAGTATGACGGAGGGCCACAGTGAAACGCTGAGACGTGTGAGGGAAAACTCTAGCAGCTGTTCTTCAGTACACTTACTTTCCAGAAATTCTATAAATAATCTTCCAAGTTACAATGACTGCAAGAAAGCTTCCTATTTCTGTCTCTCCACCTACCAATTTTCCGAGAATTACATGCTTGGCCAAATTAACATAAAGCTGAGGGAAGCGCTCTGCTGAGCCGGGTCCCTCAGTCCTTGCTGATAAACTCAGCGCTCAGACAGACGCCTAATGAATGAGCCGCCCCTGAGGGGTTATAGCATGAATCAATCATCCCACTTAAATAAAGTGCTCCCCGCTGCCGCCGCCGCCGCCGCCCGCCACACAAACACACACGACGAAGGATTCCCTTTCTTTCTCAGAAAGTTGGAGACAAAAGTTAAGGATAAACGTGAATAAAGAGTGAACATCAAATTACAAGCCGAAACTCTTAAACCAAGGAGCTCACTCAGCTCAAAAGTAAGGCCTGAGCAAGTTACATAATGAGCAGGAAACTATAAAATATAATCTCTGTGCACATTTTCATTTCCCTTCGTGCCCTGAAAGAATTAACTGGGAAAGATAAGGTCATAGTCATCAGTGCTTTCACATGGTCAGACTGAGAAATAGCACTTTCCTGAGATAGCAGGAAAAATAAATCCATACAACATATACCATCAGCTTTGGGAGAGAGTTAATTAGTTAAAACGGGATGGGCAGCTGTGATAAAGCACTAATAGGTGTGTGAAAGCATACAGACACTCAACGTGAAAGGGACTGTTCCCTCATGCACACCAACGTGGGCAGCCCAAGTACAAAATAACGTAAAACAAAATTCAGCACATGGTGACGTTACCAAAAGGAGCATTTCAAGAAACACAGATATCTCACATATAACATGAAGTCTCAACTGCAAAAGGGGGAAAATAAACTTTTATACCCTTACCTTTGCCAGAACTTTGGATGTAGCCAGTTCTCAGGCTCTTTTAATTAGTCCACCAAGTTTCCCAGAGTCAAGGTCTATATACACATCCGTGGACTCCCTCTTCTTCCTGCCCATGGTAAGGCAGGAAACAACGTCTAACACTTCAAATGCTCGGCCGTTAAGAGCTAAAAACAGATCCTGTGCAATGCTGGATATATTTTTGTCTGCTAGCTACACACCCTCATCATGTTCAATTTTTTCCATTGGTGGAGGAGTATGATGCAGACTTAACCAGAAAGTGGTTTTCCATGGGCTGCCGGCAGCGATCAGGCAGGACAGCCTGCCGTCAGGGCCTCGGCTCGCCCATGACTGCGCTGCTGTTGGCCTCACATTCCAGAATTACCACCAAAGTTCCATAGGAACGCGGCTCCAGAGTTTGCTGAATAAAGGTTTACTCACTTGAAGGGAACCTCAGCTGTTTTTTTAAGCCTTTTCAGCAGGAAGAATACACACCTACCATCCTTGTGTTTCCAGCGGTAGTAAACATTCTATCTCCAAAACCACAGCTGGAATGTGATGGTCATAAAAACCCTGCCTCAAGAGCAGCCCTTCAGAATAATTTTGTGATTTGCAAAATAGCGGGTGTATACTTAACTCTGTGTGCCTTGCTGGAGTTACTTCGTTTTTCAGTGAAGTAGCAGTGCCCTACAGTGCCCTACGCTGGAAGGCCCTGTTATCTCAAAGGGTCACTATTTTCTCAAAAATTAACATGGAATTGTTAAAAAAAAAAGGGATAGACCAGAGGTTTAAGGGTTAAGTCTTGCTGTACCTTTTGATGAAAGACCTTCCATTTAAAGTATGCCCAAAAGATAAAGCAACATTTTCAGATCATTTTATATTAGTTACTGGGGATGGAGGGGTTGCCAAATGGGAAAACAAGGTTACATCTGTGGAGCAGATTTTCAATTTTAATTTGTTTCAATTTTTGAAATCATAGTCCATAGAAGAAAACAGTTTAAGCAGAAGTTTCCAAGTTATCCTGGACAAACACATGGCAAGAGTTTTTTAAGAAAATAACTTTTCATTAAAAAATGTGAATGGCTCTATACATGCAACAGACAAGATTCTTACATAATATTAAAGACAAGATTCTAGTTTAGACATATAAGCTTTTAATTCCTTATCTTGCATGAAAAATGAATACATATGTACACATGCATAATCTATACATACAGGTACACACATGTGCAAACAGAATGTTGTTTCCATCTAGTTTCCATGTAGTTAATACATGCTTGAAAATACACTTTCTAATCTTAGTTGACAAATAATAAGGGCCATTACCTAAGATCATCAGCCCAATAGTTATAAAAAGTATTCTAACCTCCACAGAAACTTAAATTAGTGAACATAGAACCAAGGAATTTTTAGTGCTGGTGGAGAAAAACTGAAAAATTCCTTGCTCCAAGCCCCTCAGTTAGCAAATCAGAAACGAGGCTTTAAGTGACATGCCCAAGGTCAGCAGCAGGCAGCAGAGTCAGGACCTGCCACCCAAGTAGCCACAACCCCTGGGACTGAAGTCAGAAGGTTGCCAGGGAAGCCAAGTCACATAACAGAAAACATGGGAATTCCCAAAATGTTAATTTGACGTGTGTCTGTATTTAAAAATTCTCTGGGTAAATACAGAAGAAGCAAGTATGCTGTTTAAGTCACTTAGCTCCTATTCTTTTAGATCCAGCACCATCATTTCTGTTACCAAAAAAATTAAGTAAAAGAAAATATCAGCCAGCATAAAACAAGCATATGTCTTCCAAACAACCTCAAGACAGAAGAACAGCCCCTTGATGTGAAGGAGAAGAGGGGAATTATGTCAGAAAGAAGAAGGAAGTTTTAAAGAGATATGTTTCTGAGGGTGGAAAAAGTATCAGAAGAACAATTAATTGCGTGGAAACACTTGCACATCCCTATTATTCTTAAGACAATTCTGACCTTTTGATACATTTTACACGTAGATTGCTCTAAGCCAGAACTACCCAGAAGCCTGACTTATCTCTGACATTCCTCAGACACTTCCAGTGGGTTTGCATTGCCTGGCTCCATTTTTTATCACTGAGGTCACCCAAATAACTTTAGTTCTACAAATTTATAGAGTCACTTGGGGTTTCAAACTATGTCAGATTTTTCAAGTTCTTTAGACTTTGTCCAACTACAGCAAAATACTCTCAATTTAGTACTCCATCCTAAAATTACAAAACCCAGCATATTTCCACATCATAAAACCTAGACTTTATCTCTCTAATGCCTCACTCTGACATAATAATATAACTGGACATATGCATTAACAGGCATCTAAAACTGAATTCCTTGGCAAAGATCTCTGAGCATTATGTAAATTACTACTTAAGAAGTATTCTGTCCTCAAACACACCATGCAAAATGACACATGTAAAAGCAAATACAGCAAAATGTTAACAATTACAGAATTCACGTGGTGGGTTTATTGTTCACTATACAATTCTTTGGACTTCTCTGTATTTTTGCAAATTTTCTTAATAAAAGATTGGGGGGGAGATTGGGATTGACATATATATACTAACATGTACAAAATAGAGAACTAATAAGAACCTGCTGTATAAAAAAAGTTTTGCAGGGCGGAAATTGAGACACAGATGTAGAGAACAAACGTATGGACACCAAGGGGGGAAAGCGGCGGCAGGTGGGGATGGTGGTGTGATGAATTGGGAGATTGGGATTGACATGGATACACTGGTGTGGATAAAATGGATGACTAGTAAGAACCTGCTGTATAAAACAGTAAATAAAAGAAAAAAAAGATACATGCACCCCAATGTTCATTGCAGCACTATTTACAGTAGCTAAGTCATGGCAACAACCTAAATGTCCATCAACAGATGAATGGATGAAGAAGATGTGGTCCATTTATACAAGGGAATATTACTCAGCCATAAAAAAGAATGAAATAACACCATCTGCAGCAACATGGTTGGACCTAGAGATTACCAGACTAGGTGAAGTAAGTCAGACAGACAAAGACAAATATCCTATGATATCCCTCATATGTGGAATCTGATTTTTTAAAATGATACAAATGAACTTATTTACAAAACAGAAACAGACTTGCAGATATCGAAAACAAACTTATGGTTACCAAAGGGGAAACATGGGGCAGGGGGAGGGATAAATCAGGAGCTTGGAATGAACATACACACACTACTATATATAAGACAGATAACCGACAAGGACCTACATAGCACAGGGAACTCTACTCAATATTCTGTGATAACCTATATGACAAAAGAATCTAAAAAAGACTGAATATATGTATATGTATAACTGAACAACTATACTCCAATAAAATTTAAAAGAAAAAGAGTGAAGCCATATATAGCTGAGACCACTCCTTTTTTGTTTATTTATGTGTTTGTTTGTTTGTTTATTTATTTTTGGCTGCATTGGGTCTTCTTTGCTGCGCGCAGGCTTTCTCTAGTTGTGGAGAGCAGGGGCTACTCTTCGTGGTGGTGTGCAGGCTTCTCACTGCAGTGTCTTCTCTTGTTGCGGAGCATGGGCTCTAGGCACGTGGGCTCAGTAGTTGTGGTGCACGGGCTTAGTTGCTCCACAGCATGTGGGATCTTCCCGGACCAGGGCTCTAAACCATGTCCCCTGCATTGGCAGGCGGATTCTTAACCACTGCACCACCAGTGAAGTCCCAAGCATCATTCTTTTTTTTTTTTTTTTTTTCTGTACACGGGCCTCTCACTGCTGTGGCCTCTCCCGTCATGGAGCACAGGCTCCGGACACGCAGGCTCAGCAGCCATGGCTCATGGGCCCAGCCGCTCCGCGGCATGTGGGATCCTCCCAGACCGGGGAACGAACCCGTGTCCCCTGCATCGGCAGGCGGACTCTCAACCACTGCGCCACCAGGGAAGCCCCCAGGCGTCATTCTTTACTGACAATCTACAGTCAATTCTAAGGGCTTCATCTGGATATATATATAGATACACACACACATATATGTAAAATATAATAGTAATAATAAATAAAGGCTAAAAACATAAATTACTTTTACCCAAACAGCATTCCAAAAGATCAAATAATCTCTCACAAATATAAACATTCACCTTTGAGGAAGTTACACAAATGAGTGAAAAACTCCACAACACGCTCATGTGCTGAAAGAGCTTTCAGTTTGCTGCTGATGGAAAAGCAGTACTTCAAATAACGTGGGCTGAAAAAAACATGGAACTTGAGTAATGTCATTGCAAAAATGTCCTAGATGAAGGCAATACCAGAAAAAAATGAAACCTGCAAAATATTCATGTGAAAACCCTAAAATCCGAAGAAATATTACTTGGGGAGGTGACTTTTCTCCCCACTTCATCAAAAGGCACAAATCTAGTTGTGTCTAGGCACAAGTCTGTTTCTAAAACCAAATGCTTCTGAATTAGACCAGAGACAAGTGAAAGCATGCATGGTTGGCCTTCATATCCAAACTGCCGTGAAGGTTTCACCTCCCATGTGTGACACTGAAAACCCACACAAATGTACAACTGACACGTGCAATTCATTTGCTACCCAGTCATTGTTCCCTGGGAGCCAGCAAAACAGCTCAGGGCCCAGCCATTAGAGTCCCTCTGCCCTGAGCTCAGACCCCACTGTGTGATACTGGACACATCACTTAACTTAGCTTCTCAATCTACAAAATGGGGATAATATTACCTACCTCACAGAGCTGCTGTAAGGATTAAGTAAAATAATACACATTGATTGTTTAACACAGTGCCTGTCTGAGAATGCAAACTCCATAAAGCAGAGATCTTGTTAAAAGTGTCTACTGTTACGTCTAGTCCTTTAAAATGTGACTGGCACATGATGAATACCCAATACGTATCCACTGAGTCAGTGAATGAATGAGTGGGAGATGACAGTGATGATGGTAGTGGGGCTGAACATGCAAAGAAAAGAGCATCTGGGAATTCCCTGGTGGCCCAGTGATTAGGACACTGTGCTTTCACTGCCGAGGGCCCAGGTTCAATCCCTGGTCGGGGAACTAAGATCCTGCAAGCCGCACAAAGCAGCCAAATAAATAAATAATTTAAATAAAATTATTAAAAAGAAAAGAGAATGTGGTGCAGTCTATGTCTTTGTGTCGGAAGCCTCTAAAACCCCTTTATTTAAAATAAGCCACCCACAAGTTCTCAATGCCCACTGAGCACAACTTTCAGAGTTTCCACTTGAAATTCCCCAGTGGTTCTCCTGTAGCGTTTCCCATTCCAGGATGCTTCGGCCTCAAGAAGATGCCTGAGCGGCCCACGGCCGTGCATCT